TTCAATTTAATTCACACTTTTAACTAGTGATATAAGTATTATTAACTATTAACAGTAGATTTCGGCTGTTTTTTGTGTAATAAAGCACATATTCTGCATGACTTTTACATCCCTAATTCTTTTTAATACCTAACAATTGTTAATAAGCAGCAAATGAGTTTATTGATAAAGTTTATTGAGGCAAAGTCATAGTTAATGGTGTATTAATAGTCAATTAAAATAATGTGCCACCTAATTATGTGAGATTACTGTCCGTCCAGTCAAAGTTTGCTCCCTCAACTCTTTAAAACAATCATAAAGAGACCAAAAGAATAAATCCATGTCGTAGAAACATGATCATGCTGTATGAGAAACGCATTTAATTTAGGCTTATAGAAGCAGGCATGAATTTATTTTTATGTACGCTTATCAGAGTTTATGTGAATAAAAGCTCAATTAAATATGCTTGTCATATAAAGTTATTGCATCTCTTCAGAACACCTAATTAATCGGCTCATTCATTCATATGGATTTATTTTTGATGAACCTTTTGATCGTTTTTTTTCTCTGTATTAAGAGTAATCTAATCTATTAGTTTGAAAAACCTTCATTTGTTTTCCAAAGGCGACAACAATTAGAGAACACATTTTCAATTTTTACCACTCAAGAGCACATCTAACTTTCATTAAAACACTAAAACAAAGCACTTGTACTTACTAGAGAAAGCTGCGATGACGAATACTACAAGGACTTTCATGGTTATTTGCTGGTTCTACAGAAAAAAATACATACATTCAATCAATAGCTTGCAAATCACTGAAACAAACTAGCATTTCATTGATGAATTCCTTACCTTCTCTTGTCCTCTTCTGTGTGTAAGTGCGAGGGTATCTGCGTTGTATATAAATGGACGACAAAACTCTGATAAAGGCAGTAAAGTCCAGAAAGTTTTGCCCTGCTGTCATTTCTACATGCCGTGTGACTCGTTCATGAAATCATCTGTACTGAAGTGAACTCAACTCTGGTCTGAACTGCAATCATACAGACTTGCAGGAAGACACTGAATATGGTCTGTAGATGTAATGCATATATTAGCCACATTTCTTGGAACTTTCTTAAAATACAAACTACTGCCACTGAGGAATTTCTAGATTATTTATATTCAATATTTGGAAACACTTTTTTTTGAGAAGCAAATTATCTGACAGCTCCTAACAGTATAGCATATAGTTAAAGGGTTAGTATAATCCAAATTTTAAATTCTGACCTCATTTACTCCCCCTCTTACTCCCCCTCTGTCCAAACCCTTAAGAATGTTTTTCATCCTCAGAGCACAAGTTAAAGAATATCAATAAGAATCTAAATTATGGATTAAAATAAGAAGTAAAAACACTCAATTTTAGATATAGAAGTCCAAGTGTAGATGTAGAAGTCCAAGCTATAATAAGACCACCTTTTTATATACATACATACAGTTGAAGTAGAAATTATTAGCCCCCCTTTAATTTTATTTTTTTCAGTATTTCCCAAATGAAGTTTAACGGTGCACAGAAATTTTTACAGTATGTCTTATAATATTTTTTCTTCTGGAGAAAGTCTTATTTATTTTACTTTTTATATATTGGAAATATCTTCTCTCCTTTAAACAAAAATTGGGGAAAAAAATAAACGGAGGTTGAATAATTCAGGGGGGCTAATAACTGTGACTTCAACTGTATGTATATATATATATATATATA